AGCCTCTGGCACTGTGCTCCAGCCTCTCTCTCTCTCTCTCTCTGGCCCAAGAGAGCACGGAAACTTCCAATCATTCCCCAGTCCAGCCAACTGTGGAGTGGCTGAATTTCTGCTGCCTCCCAGGGTTCCCCCACGTCTGTGGCTTCTGGCCTGGACAGCCTGGTCAGGCCTCCTCCCTGGATGGGCTTCAGTCTGTATTGATGCTGCCCTGCCCCTTGGGACAGTCCCTCTTTTTCTGCTCTTTTTGGCCTTGGGGCAGCTGGGAATTGTAGTCCAGCAGATGAGGAAGCCCCATTCAACCCAGTGAGTGACAGGCCCCTCTCTGGAACTACAGCCATTTCGTTACACCTACCAACAGCCACTGAGGTAAAAGTTACTCCCACACAGGAGGAAAGCAGGAGAAGCATCTTCGTCAAGAGAGAAAGCCGTTTGCAAGTAATTCTGACAGGGCAGAGTGGCTGAAGGGGGAGTGGGCGGGGAAGAGCAGCTGACCCAGCACCCGGCCAATGACACGAGAGTACTCTTGAGTGGTGGCTGATGGGCCAATGGCTGTGGGAGAGCATTTTACAGCCAATGGGAGCACATGGAATGTTGCCAGTTTAAAACAGTATCTCTCCTATATAATAAAAGCATTTTCGTCTTGCAAGATTCCATTCACTCCAAAATCAGTTGGATCCGTGGTGTGTCAATCATAAGTTGTCTCTATCTACTGGCTGTTGCCTGAGTTTTCTCCCACCCACTGCAGCCTAGGCCACTCTTCTCTGATTGGGCCAGAGTTTCTGGTCATTTGCATATGGAAGCTGATTGGACTTCACTCCATTCCGCACCTCAAACTCCCCCCCCCCCCCCACAGCCACCGCGCATTCAACCTTAACATACCTCACAGGATCATACGGGGGAGAGGAGAATGATGTCAGCTGCTTTGGTTCCCACTGCAGGGAAAGACTGCCCTTTCCCAAGGCTGGGGGGGAAGGAAGATACAAACCTGAAGACAGACAGGCAGATAAAGGTAGGCTGATGGTTGCCTGGAAAGGACATAGGCTTGCCAACTCCAGGTTGCCAACTTCCAGGATATCTTAGAGATGAAGCCTGCTGAGGGTGGGGTCTGAGGAGGAGGAATACCATTGTTGCCAATCTCCAGGTTGCAGCTGGAGAGCTCTTAAACCTCTGGTGCTAATTCAAAGTGCTGGGGATGTGTTGCATTCTGGCAGGGGACGCTGTGAGTGTAGAAAATGGATTTTGAAGGATCAGATGGATTTAGAAGAATGTCACTATGAAATACTACCAGTGAGTTTGTTAAATGGATTAATCTTGTATTTCAACGCTATTCACTTTGACAAAGTTGTACACAAAACAAGATGATATGCATGATCCGTTGGTGTTGATGGCGTTTGAATTGCATCCAGTAAACTGAACATTGGAAAAAGAAATTTCTAGTCTTTGGAGACTTTTGTGGGATAATATATCACGGTTGTTTGTTTCCTTTTCCACTTCCTTCCCGTGATCTCTCTCCTTGGTTTGCAATCTCCAGGGGAGGGCTGGAGATCACTCAGAATTACAACTGCTCTCCAGAAGGGAGGGGGGGAGGAGATGGAAAACTGAAGTCAGAGGGGCACATAAAGGTAGGTTGATGGTTGGCTGGAAAGGAGATAGGATTGCCAACTAACTCCAGGCTGGGAAATTCCTGTATATTTGAGGGGTGGAGCCTGGAAAGGGTGGGGTTTGAGGAGGGGTGGGACCTCAGACAGGTACAATGCCATAGACTCCACCCTCCCAACCAGCCATTTCCTCCTGGGGAATCATTTTTGCCAATCTCCAGGAGAGGGCTGGAGATCACTCAGAATTACAACTGTTCTTCAGACGGTAGAGATCAGTTCCCCTGGAGAAAACGGTAAGCTCTGTGTCATTAAAATCTGCTGAGGTCACCACAGCAAATTGACGCTGAGCGCCCAAGGCCAGGGCACCCATCCAGAGCCTCTTTCTAGAGCTCGTTGTATTTATTTCCACAACGAGCCTTATTCCTAGTTATTATATAGAGAGATAAGAAGTAGTGAAGCACAGCAATATGTCACTAACCCTAAAGCTACTGAGAGTAATCCATGGCCAAAGATAACTTTCCCACCCAGCTTTGCCCCTTTTTTACCTATTTAACTTTATTTATACCACACCTTTCTCTCCAGTGCGACCCCAAAGCACTTTACATCATTCTCCATCTTGTTCTCACAACAACCCTGTGAGGTAGGTGAGGCCAAGAGTGTGTGACTTCCATGATGGCTCTCTTAAATTCTTTGAAGTGCTGTCACTTAGAGGAAGGCAGGGAGCTGTTTCCATTGGCAGCAGAGGAGAGGCCTCGCAAGAATGGGTTTAAAGTAAGGGTGGGAAGGTAGCGGCTGACTATTAGGAAAAAGTTTTTGATAGTCAAGAGCTGTGCAACAGTGGAATCAACAAACTGCTCTAAAAAAAAAAACGCCGATGCCCGCAGCGTGTGAGCGGGCGTCCAACGGAGGCATTCGCAAGATGGAGGGTGAGTCTGATCGCGTTTATGCCGGCATAAACTGCACCGGTTCCAACCGATGCAGTTTATGCTGGCAGAAAGGCCGCGTCTGAACGCACCCTATGTGATTCTGTGGCCCAAGGTCACCCAGCCAGGTCCATGGCAGACCAGGAATCTGAACCCAGGCTGACTCTCTTACCACTGCTCTCCACTGCCTTTCACAGGACACACTGTCAGGTCCCCAGTCCAGTCACTCTCCACACGCACTTTTAGCAGTGTAATGTTTTATTAGAGATATGAGAAGCTGCGGGTTCAGAACCTCTGTTAGGACTGAGGTCCAAAAGCGGGAAAAGGTAACATATAGGTAAAACCCCAAAATCACATTCATTCACACGTCATGCGTTTCTATAGCAAGTCAGACAGATATATGGCCGCTCTATCTAACTAAGCCTGGCATGGAAGTCTTCAAGGACAGTCTCATGAGAAACTGTCTCAGGGCGCACTTAAAGATGTTACAAGCAATACTCCCTAATGTTCCAACAATACACACACATCCCCAGGAATGTAACATGGCAAGCGAGGGCAAAGGTACAGTGATAAGGCGCAGAAAGGCAAACAGCAAAACTAAGGATTAATTAATAAGGCTAATAAGGACATGGATGCCAGAGCGTGACACACACCTTGGTTCACGTTTGTTTGTGCAGTGTTTGAAGAGTAACGTGATTGCAAGCCAAAGTTGGATCAAAGTTATTTAAGTCTCAGCCTGTCTTGTTCCCCTGGGATAGTAATCCCCGTCTCAGGTTTTCTGCATAGTGATGTTGAGGGATATGTGGCCCATTTGCAGGATTATGACCTTGGCCTACTAGCGTTACCGTGTGTGCAGCACAAGCATGTTAGCACTTGGCCAGGCCTTTCTATTTTTACTCAGCAGTAAACCTCAGCTGTACTTGTGATCGAGGCTGTCATTACCGGAGAGGGGCCAGTGTCATGTGACTTCAGACGCGTTTCTCTGAAGAGGAAGCTGCAGTGTCTGCACGGGGCGGTGGGAGGGGGTGTTTTCATTCTGGCTGCCCGCTAGTTTGTTTCTTGCCAGTTATAGGCAGGTAGGAGCATTTGTCGGCAACTGAATTAATTACAAAATGGCAGGAAATGGAGGGATTTCGTCATTTCATCCTGCATGTAAAAACAGATATTAGCCAAATTGCCTTGAATTATATTAATGTTTTCTTGACCTAAAATCTTTATATGTCAGAAGTGAACTCTAGTTGGTTGTGAAAAACTCTTTATCTGGATGGTATTTCCTTTACGTAACTCTTGCTTAGTACCTCTGGGGAAGGAGGGTCTTCCTTTGGCTTTCTCCCCTTGTGCTGACTGGCCTGGAAACATCCCGCCCGTTTTGTTTTGTGTCTCTCTCCAGTATTCTTCTTCTTCTTAATTATTTTTCCACGACAAAACTCATAAGCAGTGTTTTGACAACAGAGTTTCTCCCATTAGGCTGCCTCATGTGACCCATGAGACTTACGTGTCGTGCAGCTCGTCACCCAAACTGGCAGCCTGTGAGGTTTTTTACTTTGCTTCCTTTGTGCCCAGGGGAGAGCCGAGGCGGCTGGCAGTGTCTTCTCCCCCCCCCCTCTGTTATAGCACCACAACAACCCTGTGAGGTAGGTTAGGCTGAGAGTGGGTGCCTGGCCCCAGGTCACCAGCAAGCTTCCATGGTGAGAGTGAGCATTTGAACCCCTACATCACACTAGCTCTCAATATTTTTTAAATAAAAATATATATCTTTTTGTTATGGCACAAGTCAGCTCACACACCACAGTGAAAAGATTAGAAGAAGAAGAAGAAGAGATTGGATTTGTACCCCGCCCTTCACTACCCAAAGGTGTCTCCGAGCGGCTTACAAACGCCTTTCCCTTCCCCTCCCCACAACAGACACACCCTGTGAGGTGGGTGGGGCTGAGAGAGCTCTGACACAAACTGCTCTTTTTCAAGGACAGCTGTGCCAGAGCTTGTGACTGACCCAAGGTCACATCAGCAGGTGCAAGTGGAGGAGTGGGGAATCAAACCCAGTTCTCCCAGATTAGAGTCCGCACACTTAACCAACTACACCAAACTGGCTCTCACACCAAACTTACAATTTGAAACCCCAGACTGAATCCCCAGGCATGAGACCCCCTTAAAAGCCCCGGCAAATCGAATGGCCTTCCATGCCTCCTAAAGACGTGTGGCCATGGTGCCCTCCTCACCTCCTCGGGGAGCCTGTTCTCAGCAACAAGGCCTTATATGGTCTCCAGGCCAGCCGAGAAATAGGTAATAAGAAATGGAAAGCAGTGGCCTTCAGCAGCTCACCTGCAGGCACGAGTGCCTTTTCACCTGGCACCAACAGCTCCATCCACTAGGGGAAACCATCACTGTGGTGCGAGGCACCCCCACTTCAGAGGATCTTAGCTGGCAGGCTCACGCGAGGAGAGCGGATGATCCTGCCCTAGTCCCCAGGCATTTCTAGTTTTAGGGGCAAAAGCCAGCCCCTTTGCACGGGGCCTGAAGACGAATAGGGCACTGCTCTCCCGCCAGGGGGCCGGTGATCTGACAGCTACTTTGTACAGTTCCCTGGGCAGTTCCATGTGGACGACTGTTCCTTGCCCTCGAGGAGCCCATGCCTGGGGAAAAGGAGCAACTGCCTACCGCTAGACTAGAAAATGGGGGGAAGAGCTACTATTAGTGTTTGTTTGGAGGAGTCGGGGTGTGCTGAAGCCCCCTTGTCCCACAAGAAGGCTTTGGGTGAAGACCAAGAGCAAAACACACAGTATTGGGGGGAGTGCCTCCATGCCACGCCACAGTCACCTCTCGCTTGGATTGTGTAATTCCATCTACGCAGGGCTGCCCTTGAGACTGCTCTGAGATTGGTGAGGCCAGTTTGGTGTAGTGGTTAGGAGTGTGGACTCTAATCCGGGAGAACCGGGTTTGATTCCCCACTCCTCCACATGCAGCTGCTGGCGTGACCTTGGGTCAGTCACAAGTTCTTTTGGAGCCATTCTCTCAAGGGCAGTCCTCAAAAGAGCTCTCTCAGCCCCACCTACCTCACAGTGTGTCTGTTGTGAGGAGGGGAAGAGACAGGAGTAATGCTCCCTCTAAGCGGTGGAGTCTTGTGAGCAAAAATTCTACTTTGTGAGCTACCGGCATTAAAGTTGTGAGCGAGTGATTAGTTTGCTCTGGAGCCATCCTTTCTGAGCTAAGACAAAAATGTGTCAGCTGGAGGCTGAAAAACTGTGAGCTAGCTCACACTAACTCAGCTTAGAGGGAACACTGGACAGGATACTGTAAGCCACTCTGAGACTCCTTTGGGTAGTGAAGGGTGGAGTATAAATCCAACTTCTTCTGGAAGCTTCAGGTCGTTCAGAATGCAGCCACCAGACTGTTGGCTGGTGTAGCCTGGGATGCACGTACCTATCCTGTGCGGCAGTAGCGACACTGGCCACCTACCTGTTTCTGGATCAAGTTCAGGGTGCTGTCATATCTGAGGGGCCTGTGTCTGTTGCACTCGCCGTCGTGCCATGTGTGGGTGGTGCCGGGCCCCCGAGAGGCCTGCTTGGCTCCCGCCAGGACAAGGGGGGGCCTCTCCCACCTTGGCCCCGTCCTGGCGGAATGCCCTGCCAGACGAGGTTCCAGCCCTGCGGGACTTTCTGGGCTCCAGCAGGGCTTGCAAGTCAGTCTTGTTCAGGGAGGCCTTCTTCTGTTCTTGTTCTTTTGGTCCTCCTGGAACTAACCCACCTGTTCACTCAAATACCAACAGCATAGGAGTACAATCAATAAGGTTTATTAAAAGAAACGTGCAAGAGTTTACTCGGGGCTTTCCAGACCCTGCTGGTAACTAAGTTGAGAAAAGGTGGCTAAAAGCAGCCGCTTGCAGAGACACCTTCATCTGTGTTGTGGTTTGATGTGATTGTAATATGTTGGCATTCAAATTAAAGGAGATCTGTTGTCTGTCACCCATCTGGAAAGTGATCTTGGAGTTCCAGAAGGAAAGGGACATGGAAATCTCATGTCAGCGGGAAATGGAGCTGCAAGGAGAGGAAGCCGACAAGCCAGAGACAGCAGCCCCAGAGGGCGCCCCCCCCCTTGGCGTTCCCTGAGTCTTTGCAGAGGCAGGAGGCAGCTCCAAGAGGAGCAAGCCCCGCCTGACCCTGGAAACCTGCCTCTTCGATTTGACAGCACTCTGTGAGGGGCTTCCTAATAAAACCAGACACAACAACAACAACATTACAGTGAATCGTTTTTCCTGTTCCATAATGTAATAAACAATATCCAGTGCTTATTAAATCTATCAATATTTTACAAGAGCCTCCTTTGAGTTCTGTAGTAATATGTCAGCTTTACCAATCAAGCCATGTGATTGAAGTCTCTTCCAATGGGCTGCTGTAGCTGTTTTTGTTGCTGTAAATAAACTCAGAACTAGCTCTGTATCTGAAAAATCAACATCAGCTTTCAAATATCATAATAATTTGGGCTCAAAGGGTTTGTTATGACAAATTGCCTTCCAGAATAATTAGGTAACTGAGCAAAAGCCAAATATGTGTAAGGTATCTGCAGGAGATGACCTCCAACATTTACCTTGCACAGATTTCTACATAACAGCCTATTTATTGGGGGTGGAGTGTGGTGGTTAAATACCACTGGAAAATGATCTTAAATCTCTCTTTGAGATTGATTGAAACCAGACTAGGAACAGCATGCTCTCAAATCCACCCCCATTCCTCCAAACGAATGCTAAAATGTACATCTCCCCCCCCCATTTCCCCCCAACAGTTTAAAATACTGTTATCCAAGCCCATCAATGTGTACATGTTAGCAATAAATCCTTTAGATATCTGACCATTTGTTCAAAAGATGCTTTTCCCAGAGGTGTTCTTAGAGGTCTCAGCCACCCTGAGGCTGCATTGCGGGGAGGTAAATGCGATTAATAATAAATAAATAAATAAATGCCAAATATGAAAGAATTGAACAAGAGGGTGTTTAATCCTTCCCATTTTAAAAACGGTTCAATCAAACTTTATATTAGGAATGCTATTCCCCTTCTGACCCCTGATAGTTGGGCACACCAGAGCCTTTTTTAAAAATGGTGTGCACTGGAAGTCATGGCTGACTTTTGGCGACCGCTAGTGGGGCTTGGAGGCAAGGGATGTTCAGAGACGTGGCTTGCTATTGCCTGCCTTTGCATCCCCAGCCATGGTGTCAGGTTCCACAGCCAACAACTGAGTACACGCTTGTCAGAAAGGTTATACTTTATTGCAGAGCTATAGATGCAGTAACATGGTCACTGTTAAGAATGGCGACGTTTCTACAAGCACAATGGGGTATAGGGTATTCGTATGCACACACCCCCAATCCATAGGCCAATTGGCCTACTCCCGCGTGCGGGAGAAGGGGCCTCAGGCCGTTAGAGCCGAAGCTGGGAATCGAAAGCTATCCCAAGCTATCCCACGGTTACATGATGCCCAGACACTACACATGCAATTTACAAGGTCAGTGATAATGAAGTACTACAGAAGCAAAGAAGGAATGCAGCAGCAGCTGGTACCCAGGTCAGGCAAATGAACCCCAGCCCATAAACATAATGCCAGCATAGCTGACACATGGTAGTCTGTGGCGCTCTCCCTTCCTAGTACTTGCCAGGGTCGGCCCTGCTTAGCTCTTGAGAGCTGATGAGATCATCGGGTAGTCCTGGGCTGTCCAGAGTCTTCAGTGCCGCCCTAGGGGACTTGCCCGCCCAGGTAAATGTCTTCATTTCCCCCCAAGTTGTAAATACAGAAAGCATTACCAGAAGAAGTATGTTGCCAAATAAATGGGGGGATGTTCATTTTAACACTGGAGATTCTACCAGACAATGAAAGAGAAAGTGTGTTCTAATAGACCAGTTGTTTGTCAGATTCCCTGCTGACCGTGTTTCTCCCCTTTCTTACAGCTTCTCCACCGCAGACGGTGCACAGTCACTTGGGTGAGTCCCCCGGCTCTGCAGTCCTCTGCCACCACTGTGGGAAAGCATGCAAAGGAGAGGTGCTGAGAGTGCAGAAGAAGCATTTCCACATTACGTGTTTTGTTTGTAAAGGTATGGACTTGTCTTTGTTATTGCCAGCCTTCGGGCTTGGTTGCGCGGGGGGGGAGTGCAGGATTCAGGAGGCTTGTGTGGCCTTCAGGGGCCTGGGGTCCAAGTATGGCTGTTCACTTAGCATGTTGACCGCCAGCATATCATCCCAGTGGACTTGTTACTGGGAACAGTGTGTGGTGGAGACTAACTATCCTGATGCTAAGAGCAATTAAAGCTGTACTAAGCGTGTGTGAGTGGAGAAGAGGGAGGGAGGCGGCGGCAGTGACTGGGTGTCGTTGAAGGGAAGGGTCTTTTGGACAGGGCAGGAAACTGGTCAGTGGACGGTGGAAGCCTGAAACAAGTGAACAGTGTGATCTTTCTTGGTCCTTCACCAATCGTGGACTAAGGGGCAGGGGGCTGTCAGCTTATGCTGCCATTGTGGCTGGTGGAAAGGGAGGTGGTTGATTTGTGTCTTCTTTCCGGTCTGGTATGTGTGGATTCTCAGTAGTCCCTTTATTGCTGTTTGACCTTGGTGTCTGCTGCACTGCTTTCCCTTGGAATGTGAACCCGTTAGTTTTAGGCGGGCAAAGGCTTCTTCCCTGATTGGCTTTGAACCATCAGGAGACCCCGCTTTGAACCAGGTATAATTGACCCTTTCCTGCTTTTTGACTTAGTTCTGACACTGAATGTGTATGGATGACTTGCCTATACTGGAACAATAAACTGAAATGTCATTGAAAGCCTGTTGTTGATTCCTGCTTGCTGCAAGACTCTGGCAGAGTGTCAGAACTCCTCATAGTCCCCAACCCTCGTACCTCCCCATGAGCGTCGAGTACCGCGGGGGCGTCCCGACTACTACAGCTGAGACGATCCCGGCTACAACAGAGACCCCAGCCACTACTGGGGCTTGGGGAGAGGGGAAGCCGTGGTGGGCAACGTACTCGTGGGCTAACTTTTCAGCCGAGACCTGAGAGACGTGGGTGACTACCCCCCGGGTTCGCAGCACCAGCCGGTATGACTATCCACATCCCAGAGGGAGACTCCGAGATCAGGAACGGCTGGAGGAGAGGGCAGAGGAGCCGCTGGACAGCAGGAGCCTCCAGTTGCAAGCCCAATTCGAAGAACTCTGGCAGGAGATGCATGAGATGGTGTTAGATTTGCTCCGTCTGATCGCAACGACGGTGCAGCAAGAGTTATGACTACAACAGCCTCCTGCGTCCACGGGGTCCCGGGTCAGCAGCAGATACCCATCCAGCCCCGAGGCCCTGGGGTACCAGGGCAGCTGCCTGTGGTCCCAGTGTTGGAGCGACCCAAGGAGCTCCTGGATGCCACATTTAACGGGAGCCCCAAGAAACTCGCCTTCTTCATGCTACAAGCGAGTAAGTTTCTATGGGATTGTTGTCATCTCTACCCATCTGACGAGCACCGGGTGGACTGTATAGGCTCCCGGTTACGAGAGCGAGCAGCCGACTGGTATGTCACGCTGCACAACCTCTGGGGCCCCGAACTCCGCAATGTGCAAGCCTTCATATGGGCTCTGCGGTGGCAATACGACGTTCCGATGGAAGCAGAAAAGGCCCACACAACATTACGGGCCCTGAAGCAGGGCAATCAGTCGGTACAAGAGTACTCAGACAAGTTCAAGATGTATGCTGCTAAGGTCCAGGGTTGGCCCGAGGCTGTGCTAGTGGAGCAGTATCAACTGCGTCTGGATCCATCAATCCTGGAGAACGTGCTCCGGAGTGTGAATCCCCTAACATTGGTGGGGTTGGTGCGAGAGGCAGGAGAAGTGGAAAACCGCCTGCAGATGATCAAACTCCTGAACCCGAAAGCCTACCCAAAAACGCCAGGGGCGCCAATGAAGGGCCCCAAGGGCAGGGCGAAGGAGCCGGTGCGTGATCGATGGATGAAGCTGGATCTCTGCCTGCGATGTGGGGAGCCAGGGCACTACGGTGCCTTCTACCCTAAGGTCCTGACGCCTCCATCCAAGCCGCCTGAGGGGGGCGGGGCGGCTGATACCTCTGTGAGAGGAGGGGGAGCGAACTCCAAGCAATCCCGAGCCCTCCAACTGGGAGTGTCACTGGAAGGCGCCTCGTCCAGCGGAGACGAAAAACCCCAGCCGGCGGGGAAAGGCTGGGACCTGCTGTAAAAGGCGCAAAACAGCAGATCCGAGAGTACCCCGCGCCTCAACAGGTGAGCAATAACGCCCCTCTGTTTTTTGTGACTGTGTCTGTAATCAACCCTGCGATGGGGACCCAGGCACGGGTAAGTGCCCTCATAGACTCACGGTGCACCAGAGATTTAATAAGCCCAGCCATTGTCACGGGGCTCGGGGTCCCCGTGCAGAGACAGCCTGAGTCCTTGATCTTCACCCAAATGGATGGCTCCGCAATTAAGGAACCCTGTAATTACCAGATGATTCCCATCATTATGGGAACCGAGGAGGACTGGAAGCTAAGGGCTTTCATCATCAACCCCATGGCTCAGTTTTCTATGGTGCTGGGGAATCCCTGGTTCAGGAACCTTACATCAAATTGGGGGGGGGGTCTGTGCACTTTGTAACCCCCCAATGCAAAACCCATATTTGGAACCCTGAGTGGGGGGAGGTACCACAGACGCCGGCCACCCAAGCCTGTCTGGCCAGCAAGGAGCGGGCGGCTATTCCATTAGAGTACAGAAACTTGGCTAGGGTGTTCGAGGAGGAGGAAGCAGACGAACTCCCCCCCCCACAGGAACACTGACTGTGCTATTGAGATTCTGCCGGGCCACAAGTTACTCAAGGGAAAGTTGTACTCTATGAGACCTGTCGAAAAAGCAGAGCCGAGGAAGTTCATTGATAAAAACCAAGCCCAAGGTTTCATTCCCCCTGCCTCCTCCCTGTTTGCTTCCCCTGTCCTCTTCCAGAAGAAGAAGGACAGGTGTCTGAGACTGTGTATGGATTACTGGGGCTTGGATGCTGTGTCTGGTACGAATGCATACCCCCTCCCACTTATTAAAGATCTCTTGGCAGAGGTGGTGAAACGAAAAATCTTTACGAAGCTGGATCTTCGAGTCGCATATTTCTGAGTGCGCATTCGGGAGGGGGATGAGCCTAAGACTGCGTTCAATACTCCTTTGGGACAGTTCGGGTACCTGGTGATGCCATTCAGACTCCAGAGGGCACCAGGGGTGTTTATGAACTTGATTATTGAAGTGTTGCACAAGCACCTTTTTAAAGGGGCCCTCATTTATCTTGATGATATTCTTTTATACTCCCAAGATAAGGAGTCACATGTGCATTTAGTGAGGGAAGTGTTACAAACTTTATACGACCATAAACTGTTTGCTAAACTGTCAAAGTGTGAGTTCCACAAGACAGAGGTGGAGTTCCTGGGTTACCGCATCTCACCCCGGGGGTTGGAGATGGACCCGCGTAAAGTGGCCGACGTCTTGGGGTGGGAGGCCCCTAGAACCTGACACCAACTCCAGGCATTCTTAGGATTTGCTAATTTTTACAGGGCGTTCATCTCAAACTTTGCACAAGTAAGCCTACCCCTCACTGACCTGTTGAAAACCAAAGGGAAGGGGCCCGATGAAGCCAAACCCAGGGCCCGCCTCCAATGGACACCTGAATGCCAGGAGGCATTCAACAAACTCAAAGCACTATTTACGTGTGAACCCATTTTGGCTCATCTAGACAAAGAACAAAAAGTTTATTGTGCATGTAGATGATTCTGAATGTGGCGATGGGGGGCATATTGCAGGAGGGGGGTGATGGGAAGCTCCACCCCTTGGTCTACGTCTCTAAAAAATTCAATGCCACAGAGCGGAACACTGGGTGGTCTGGGACAAGGAGGAGGCGGCAGTTCGGCTGGCGCTCACAACGTGGCGTCACTGGTTGGAGGGGGCGCGGATTCTGTTTCAGGTTTGGACTGATCATAAGAACCTCGAAGCTCTGCACACCCCCTGGACCCTCAATACTAAACAGCTACATTGGTTGGAGTTTTTCTCCAAGTTCCAGTTCACTCTCCACCACTTCCCTGGGAAAGTCAACTCGCTTGCTGATGCTTTGTCCCGCCTCCCACAATATGCAAGCCAAAGGGGGGAGACTATAGACTCTATGTTTACCCCTTCCCAGCTGGGAAGGGCAGTGCTCACTCAGTGCCAAGTGAGGGAACAGGCAGAGGGGGGTGATGAACCTTGGGTTGCTAAATTCACAGCGGCATTTTCCCCAGACGATGCTGTGAAGCTCGGCACAGATGCCACCATTCAGCAGAGTCCTAATGGTTGTTGGTACAAGGGACTTCGCTTGTACGTGCCCACGGCCCTAATGGGGGAAATCTTACACTACACGCACAAGCCGAAACTGGCAGGGCATTTTGGGTACCTAAATCCTTACACTTACTGCAGCGCCAGTTCTGGTGGCCCCATATGTGAGGGGACGTCTCGCAATATGTGGCCTCATGCCATACTTGCCTCATGAGTAAACGAATGCCAGGGAAGCATCCTGGGAAGCTGTGGGCCTTGGAAACCCCCACACGACCCTGGGAGGTGATATCTATGGACTTTATCACAGACCTACCCCTGTCTAAGTTCTCAAAACAGGCCCACTTCATCCCGTTCCGCCAGGAGCCAACAGTCAAAGCGTTGGCTAAGATGTTCATGGCAAACATTGTGAAATTGCATTCAATTCTATCAAAGATCATTTCTGATAGAGGCACTCAGTTCGTTGCCACCTTCTGGCAGGAACTCATGAGAGTGTTAGGCATTGAGCAGGGACTCAGCAGGGCATAAAACCCCAAAACGGATGGCCAAATGGAACGGGTCAATCAAGTAGTGGAACAATGTTTGCGGTGCTTCATTAATTACCAACAGAACAATTGGGTGGACTTGTTGCCTTATGCGGAGTACAGTTACAACAACTCTACCCATGGCTCCACCAGCTTATCTCCTTTTAAAGCCTTATATGGATATGAAAGCACCCCCCTCCCCTCGGTGGGTTCTCCCGACCTCAGTCCAGGAGACCTGCATACTTGGTGGCA